CGCCCCAAGACAGCTCTAGAGGGCCCAAAGACCGCCCAAGCGGCGTCCAAGAGGGCCCAAGGGAGCCCCGAGAACGCCCCAAGAGGCGCCCAAAGGGTGACCAGAAATTCAAAAATCTAGCTTTCCGTCCCGAGAGGGCCCCAGGAGGCCCCAAGAGAGCCCCAAGAGACCCCAAGAGGCTCCCAAGAGGCCCCAAGGAGCCAAGAGGCCTCAAAAAGACCCTATGAGGCCCCGAAGCTATCCCAAGAGGCCTCAAAACTGCTGCCCAGAAGCCCCATTACCATCGCCCCATGCCCTCGGGCAAACGTACACTCTCAGCATGCACGTTATTCATGTCCTGGCAGCGTCGAACACAGCCCAAGACGCCTCCACGGGCCCAAGAGGGCCCCAAGAGGGCCTCAAGACGGGCCACGACGTCTGGAGTCTTCCTCCTCCTCTCCCTGTTCCCTCTCCGTGTCTGGTCGTCTCACGCCTGGACGCTGATCGGAAATCGGGCCAGTATGTTTTGCCCAGGAGATGTCCAGGGACAGGTTTTGGGTGCGTCTTTGCGGAAGAAGGGGAGAGGGAGGAGCGTCTCGATGGAAAGGGAGGGAGGGGAGGAGGAGGAGGAGGAGGAGGAGGAGGAGGAGGAGGAGGAGGAGGAGGAGGAGGAGGAGGAGGAGGAGGAAGAGGAGGAAAGGAAGCGGGCGAGACGGGAGCTTTTGCGGCGCGACAAACTGGTGCGTTTGGACTTCAGGAGGGGTCCCGGCACCATGCTTTGATCGGGTGTGGGATTTGGGTCCCTCATTGCTTCTTGCGCTTGCTCCACCCCTACCTCTCGTCTCAGCTTCAGCCTTCGCTCTTTTGCACGCTTCAGCTGTACCCTCGGCGCCACGACGCCGCGGCGCCAGGGCCCGACGCCGCGACTCCGGGGACTGATACCGATACCCGATACCCCTACTGCCTGGGCCTCTCATTGGGCTTCGACCCGCTGGGGGCCTGAGATGGCCCACTTACTCTCGTCCTCATCCTTCTGCTGCTGCTGCTTCCCCTACTTCACCCTTTCCTTCTTCTTTCGGTAGCGGCCTTGGCTCGACGCTCCGGGATCCTTCCGCGCCCCCGAGGCCGCACCCGACACTGCGTTCATGGTCAGACCTGGCTGTGCTTATCAAGGCTGCTCGTGCATCCAGCTCTCCACGGTCAATGATCTTCTTGATTTTCGCTCGAGCCCCTCCCCGAGCTTCGGGGTGACTGAGAACTCCAAAACTCACGGGGCGACAGGGAAACCGCTGCAACCTGTATTTTGTTCGAATGCCCGTTTCGAGGCAGCCTGTGACATAGACGGCCTGTCCCACGTGGACGACGGCATGCTCGCTTTGTTCAGGACCACGTGGCTTGAGCGTGATAGGCGCCACCGCGCACGGCTGCTCTTGGATCCCACGATAGTCCAAGAAGCCCTCGCCGTCGTCCCTTACGAAGGCCCCCTCCCGCTGAAAGTGGTGGTCGCCTCTGTCATGGCCGATATTTTCTTTTGCGCCACTTCGCGGGAAATGACAAGGTCACGCAGGAAGTCCGTCGGATTGTCTTTGCCGCGAAAAGCTGGCAGGAGTATGTATGGCTCGTGTACATCGGGCGGAAATTCGTCAGAAGCTGTGTGCACGCTCCTCGAAGTGCCGGGCCGCTTGCGGTACGACCGCGGAACCATCAATGCAGACGAGCTTGACGCTCTCCTTCACATGCAAGCCTTGGATATGGAATCTTCCATGGGGAGAGTAAACAGGAATTGCGAGAGTGGATCATTGGAACCAGAGACCGGTTGCATTCTTTACCTGCCGGCTTTTTGTTGAGCGGATCCGCCACGATCTAGCGAAAACAGCTCGCATTTTCAAGCGATGCTGTGATAAAAAGGCGGGGGGCAAATCCCCTGTCATCTCTCGCATGCCGCATGCCATGGCCGACAAGTGGCCTGAAATGAGCACCGCGGATCGTTTGTGGGCTTTCTTCATGGCAGTAGGCGGCACTAGCCACTTCCACGCCTGGCAGACGTGCGTGGACCTCCCCCCCAGACGTCTGCGAAAGCACAACCATGCGTGCAGTGGGCCCCGGCTGTTACATGTTCTTTCGGCTGACATACCCTGGCGTCAAATTTCCGAGCACTCGGTCTTCTGCGCAAGGCCAATCGTTGGCCATCCGTTTGGTGGAGCATTTGCGAACACGTCCAGAATTGTACGGTTTGCACTTCCCTGGGCCACTGCTTTCCTGTAGTGATGCGGAGCGCTGGAGTTGCGAGACCCTGCAGGCTGCGAGAGCATTGAATAACGCTGACCTTTTGCCCCGCATCGGGGGGGTGCAGCGCGTGCTCAACGGCGCCGTGCTTCCCCCTTGGCCCGCGGCAAGTTCGGTGCGCGCCGCCTCCACTCTGGCATCGAGGTCGCGACCTCCTCCACGTTGACGAACAACCTGCTGTGCGCGCCGCGGCAGACGAGTTCCACGAACCTCGTGAAAAACGCAGGTGGCGGTGAGCCGCGCACCAAGCGCCAAGCCTCTTTAATGGCTTTCATTGTAGGCCGCTCTGGACATCTGCGGGGCATGCAGACCACCGCCGGATGAGCGCTCAAAAATCATCGACCTCTGCGTCGTCGCCACCGTCGCCACTCTCACCGTTCCATCCCCTCTGGCGCATCCCGGCGTGACCATCTCCCCCCTCGTGGTCGCAAATTCCCAGAGACCCCGCATGACCTTCACCCCTCTCGCGGTCAGATTTCCCCGAGCCCCCGGCGTGACCTTGCCCCCCCCCGCGGTCGCCCTTCCCCGACGTTTGCGGCGCGCGTGCCTTTGACCCCCCTCGCGTTCAAGACTCGCGGCCGCTTTCTCGACGTCTTCGACCTCTGGGCGTCGGGCCTGAGGCCCTGACGAGCCGGGCGCGCGTGCGTTGGCGACCGACCGACGACGACGACGCAGCGGCGACGACGACGACGGACGACATACGACGGACGGCGACGGACGACGACGTCGACGACAATGGACGACGACCGACGACGACGGCGACGACGACGACAAGGGATGACGACCGACGACGATGACGACGACGACGACCACGACCACGACCACGAACACGACCACGGTCACGACCACAACCACGACCGCGACCGAGACCACGACGCACGCCCCAGGGTTCAAACTTTCTGGGCCTGCCTCAGACGATATGACCTCCACCGCCCTAATGGTCATGCGCCCCCTCAAAGGCAGACGCGCCGGGCCTCGGGCCGCCCCGGGGAACGAGCCCCCCCCCATGCGGCGGGCGTTCTTGCAACGCCTATGCCCCGAACCTGTTCGCAGTCTCTTGCAGCGCTTCCAGAGGCCCTGACCTTGACCCCCCTCGCGGTCACGCGTGCCCACCCGAGAGCGCCCGGAGACGCAGTTGCGGATTTGAAGCGCGACTTCGCCGGTGACCGCCGCTATCTCGTGAAGGTCATCGTATACCAAATGCGCGGTCTCCCGCGCGCGCGCGCGTCGTCTTCGCCGTGAAAGATCTTCCCGCCGCGCCCACCGAAGTCGACAATTTCATCCCCCGCGAACTGCTCCCAGATGCTGGCACGCTGCGCGACCTCGTGCTGCAGCGCATGATTCATTCGTGCAACCACTCCTGCCGCCAGCAGGTCCCGCAGCAGGAGTGCATCAAGGCTGCCCGTGGCCGTGCCAACAGGACGCCGACTTCGACGTCCGCGGCTACCCCCAGCATCGACGTCGCCACTGCGGAGGTGACTGCCCGAACTGCCAGGCAAGGGTTCCGCCCTGCGGCAGGCGGCCAGTGTGTGTGAATCGTCCCTTTGTCGAATACAAAACCAGCGTATTACTTATGTGGGAAGGTCACGCCAATGTCAAGTTCGCGGGGGGCGTCGAACTGTTCGAAAACCTGTGCGCGAGTTGCGACGTCGCCATGGGCCCCGAGGTCCAGGACGAGCTCCGGGCGTGGCTCACCAGGCCATGCCTATGCGCCGCGGAGGCAGCGTGGCGCGTGTTCGGCTACAACACTTACGACCGGTGGCCGCGCGTTTTGTGCCCCCCCGTCCACGTGGAGGGCCAAGACTGGGTTCTGTTCGAAGAGGGGAAGGAGGCGGAAGCAGTCAAAGGACGCATCTCCCCTCTGAAACAATACTTCCACTGCCCCGCCGCGGGCCAGTTCTCCCAGCTGAAATACAACGAATACTTCGAGCAGTACATGGTTGCCCCCACATGCCCCGCGCGCCTGCGCTGCAACTTCGCGGAGCTATTCCCCCGGGCCGCCCTGGCGCCCGATGCGGGGTGGATCGACGAGGTGCCGCTGGGCAATCGACACTTCGCATGCCCGCGGCAACGCGGGGGTGCCCCCACCTGCAGACTGGACATGAAGTTCCTTCGGAAGAGGGAAGTTTTCTACCTGCGCCACATGCTGTTGAACGTCCCCAAAAAGGAATTCCGCGACTGCCGCGCCCACAACGACAAAACGAACGCCACTTACACAGAAGCCTTGCGCTCCACCGGCAATTTCGCCGCCAGCGCGGAGGCCTACGAAGTCCTCGATGAGCTCATCGCGCTGCGGTGGGCCGCCCGCCAGCCAGCTGCGCTTCGCTTTCCTCGTGCTTCTCGAGCAGGATGCGGCGCCTGTGCAGCTCTTCGCGAAGTACGAACGCCCGCTGATGAACATTTTCTGAACCGAGGTCTTTCTCCGCAGCGCGCCCGAGAGCAGCTCGTTTCCTTCCTGATGGCGACCTGGCTCAACAACGGCAACCTCGAATCCGAGTGGGAGCTCTCGGCTCCAGCTTCTGGCGCGGCAGGTGCCGCGCCGTCGCTCGCCCCGTGCGAAGGTACCGCGCTCGGCGACTTGTGCGCCAAGGTGTTCAGGTGCCCCCTCGCAGCGCGCCGTTGCCGATGACGTGCTTCGCCGTTGGCGCAGCGCCGGAGAGGCATTGATTTTCTGCGAAGGGAAGGCAGGCACTGGAAAATCAACGGTTGCCCCGTGCATCGCAGCTACCGTGGAGGCCGCCGGCGACGTCGGTATCAACGTCGCTAGCGCGGGGCACGCAGCTCTGCAGCTCCCTCGCGGCGCCACGGCGCACTCCGCGTGGGCCATCCCTGTGGGTGACTACCCGGAGCTGTTCAGCAACTTGAGCGTTCGATCGGCAGCGGGTCTCCACATCGCACGCGCTCCCGTCATCCAGTGGGATGAGCGGCCTTGCATCCGCAAGGCAGCGTGGGAATTGTGCTCGACCCTGCTCGACGCCCTGAAAACGCAGCACCCTTGCGAGTGCCGGCCCGAGGTCCTCATATTCTTCGGGGACTTCCGCCAAGTGCCCCCCGTCATCCCCCAGGCCAGCCGCCGCGTCATCGTCCAAAGCGCCGTCCAAAGCTCCTCCTCGTGGTCGAGGTTCACCCGGTACTGCCTCGGCCGCGTCTGGCGGCAGGCTGAAGACGCCTCCTTCTGCCGGTGGATTGACGGCATCGGTGGCGGTGCCCAAGCTACTCAGAGGAACGGTGCTGGTGACGGGGGATTCGCGCCCTTGCGCGACATCGCCACCGTGCTTGACGAGGCGGCGGCCATTCGTCACGCATTCCCTCACCTCAACGAACCACACTCTTCGAACTCCAAGATACTGGCCGTTGTGAACACACTGGTGGGCGCGCACAACGAGCGCATCCTCCGCGCGTTGGAACGCACCTTCCTGTGCCCCGCGCACCATTTGCTGAGCGCCGACGCCCTGAACATCGATTCTGCTGGCCTCGTTGAGCCGCACCTGGCCGCAGAGTTTTTCGCGCTGCAGTATGCCCCCGGTGCGCCGCCCCATGACCTGCGCATTGTCGTCGGAGGGCTCTTCGAGCTCATGCGGAACTTCAGCCCTGCCGAGCAGCTCATGCACCGCGTTCCGGTCATCGTCAAGGCGGTTCACCACCACCACATCCTCATAGAAACGTTAGATGGCCGCCAGTACCCATTGCCTTGTTTTCCGCTGGTAGATCGCCAACGGCCCGTCCACAATGGCGCGTCGGCAGTATCCATTGCGAGCGGCGTGCGCCTCCTCATGCAACCCAGGGCAAGGCCCGTGCGTGCGACCCTGGACGTGCGACGGAGCCCTGTTGCGCGCGGGCACCTCTATGTGGGCTTCTGCAGGGTGAAGAAGCGCGGTGACCTACGCGTTCTCCCCGACAGTGAGAACATCGACCGCAACGGCAATTCCTTAGTGCGCAACGTCGTCTGGCCAGAGCTTCTGTTACGATCGGACCCCCCCTCCAAAGCATCCTGGCCTTACGCCGCGCAAGCGACCTGCTGCCTATCCTATCGATCATGAGCACGGAAAAAAACCCTGCGCCCCCCCCTCTCGCGGTGGGGCTCTCCATCCTTTCTCCTGCATCTCTCCGACGATCTTCACATTCACCCCGCTTGCACGTGCCCGCGGCCCCCACTCGCACCCATGCACATCTTGTCTCGACCTTGTGACCTTCACCCCCTTCGCGGTCATCACATCAGTTACCTTGTGCCCAGATGCGCATTCCGCCATGACCTTGCCCGCTCTGGGAACTCCGGGACCGTTTGTCCCCTCGTCATCGTCCTCCTCGTTGTTTTCGCCCTCCTGTTCCTCTTCCTCGCCCTCCCCTTTATGAGCCTCGGATCATTCGTTTCAAATACCATTCCTTTCACGATCATGGCATTACTCCTTCAACGCCATGACCGCGACCCCCCTCGTGGTCACCATTTCCTCCCACCTCCCGTTCGTGACTTTGGCCTCCTCGCGCCGATGCCTTGTATGCCCAATCAAAGACATGCCTGTGGTATGTCCCATGGGGATGACCTTCACCCCCCTCGCGGTCATCGTTTGGTTCCACCATTGCATGCATGCAATTCGCAATGCGGTTCGCAGTGCATGGGTGCAGGACCAACATTTGAGGCGAAGTGAAGTGAGCCCTCAAGTCTTGTAAATACATACAGAAAGGCGTGTATATGTGTGTATTTGTACATATATAGCACGTGTGTGTATACATATATATATGTATATATATATATATGTGTATATGTATGTATGTATGTATGTATGTATGTATGTATGCATGCATGTATGTATGCATGCATGCATGCATGTATGTATGTATGTATGTATGTATGTATGTACGTACGTACGTACGTACGTACGTAGGTACGTATGCATGTATGTATGTATGTATGTATGTATGTATGTATGTATGTATGTATGTATGTATGTACGTATGTGTATATATATATATGTATATGTATATGTATATATATATATATATATATGTTCCTCTTCCTATATTTTTATAAGCCCGGGCGGGGGGAAAACCCGTGACCCCCCCCCCCCCCCAAAACCGGACTCCCGGGATCTGGGGCTTTGGGACCTTCCGGACAGGCCTCGAAGCTGCACCCCTGGCCTCGCAGGGCGCTTTGTCACGCCTTCCCAGCACACCTAGGGCGATCAGGGGGGTCATCGGAGACGTCCCAGAGACCCCCATGACAGCGCAAGAGCGCTCCAAGAGTGACCGACGTGACCTCAAGATGGCCCAAGAGGCCTGGAGGACGGCCCCAAAGAGGCCTCCAAGAGCACTCCCAAGAGGCAACAATCATGGATGTTCTATTAGTTTTTGGTGAATTTTGGGGTTCTCCTCTTTTCGGCTTCCCGACGCTCCAAGACGGCGGTCTTCTGGGCGTCCGAAGCCGCCTGGGAGGCTCCAAAATCGCCCCACAACCATTCGAAAGGGCTTCCAGGCAGTCCAAGAGAGCCCCAAAACGGCACAACATGGGTCCAAGATGGCCTTCAGAGAGCCCCATGTCGGCCCAAGATGGCCCCAAGACACCCTCCGAAGCATTCGAAATCGTGACCCGGTCATTCAGGGAGACCGTGGTTGGAGGCAGAGTGGCCCGAGGAAGCCCCCAGAGGCCCCCAGAATACGCCCAGGAGGCCTCCAGAAGGCCTTAAGAAAACCCGAAACCATTTTTTTTAGGCTCCCAGAGGCTCTCCAAGGAGGAGCCTCCGCAAAAAAAAGCTGAGGAGGATAGGGAGAATGCGCAGAGTATGGCGAACATGAGGAAAAAGAAGCATGGAGGAAGGATAATGAGTGACATTATCACAGCGGCGATGCCGGAAAAGGCAACAAGGAGTTATCGCTAAACTGTCGGCTTGACCTTCCTGCTATTCCGCCTGCATGCCAAGCTTCAAGGACCAAGGTGCATGGCGCGAAGCGCCACTGCAGCCTTATATATATATATATGTATATTTACTTTTATGTATATATATATATATATGTCGAGAGAGAGAGAGAGAGCGATATTGATATAGACATTTATTCATGTATACGGACACGGGAAGATCACACGTGAGATAGGCTGGTACATGTTGCAGTGAGCCTATTTGTATATTTACAGTGTTTGAAGGTATCGTTTACAGTGGATTTCGATTTCGATACCAGGAGCCCTGGCACCAACTTCCGTGCCCTATCAACATGTCGGGTCGCCCTGGTGTTTCCGGGAGTAGGTGGCCACCTGAAGGGAGGCCCCGATGGCCCGAATAGAGTTCTCAAGTCACAGCTCAAGGCGTCCAGTTTGGCTGGTGCAGGTCCAGACGTCCATGCCGCCCTGGCCACGGCCAGGCCCAGGTTGGACCTGGCCAGGCCTGGTGCAGGCGCACAGTGCCATGGACGAGTGCAGCGGAGCGACGTGTGCCGACTCCAGCTGCCTGCTGCGCGCGAGCGCTCCTGCCCTGGCCGCTCCACCGCCGAGGCCGCGACAGGAACCTGCAGGCGCAGCTGCTGCTGCGCTGCCTGGAGCAGGCCCGGCTCCCCCCCATTGGGTCTGGCCGGCCGGTGACGGCGTGGAGCGACGGCCTTCGGCGCGGGCCGACGCCGCTTGCCTGGTGGAGCTTGGCTGGGGGCGATTAGCGTACCGCGCGGCCGCGAAGAGCACGGCGGCGCCATGCTCTGGCTCTGGCCGCGGGATCGCAGTCAGGTCCAGCAGTTGGGTGCGTGCTTCGGTGGAGGAGTTGGGGGAGGGCGCGGGGCGGGGAGCGCGGAAGGAGGCGTGCGTGAGCGCCAGCGTGGGCAGAAGCTCGGAGCAGGAGCGGCCGGTAGCGAGGAGCGAGGCGTGAGGCATGAGCGCGAGCGTGAACGTAAGCAGCAGGAAGAACAGAGGCGGAGCCCAGCTGGAACCGCGGGCCCAGGATCGTCGCACCGCGAACCCCTGCGGCCAAGCCGAGATATGGGCGTGCACACATCTATCCCGGGCCCAGGGGCAGCTCGGCCAGGATCGGCGCACGGCGTTGTGGATCAAATGCGCATGCCACCAAAAAACGTGAAGCAAAACCAGTGCAGAGAAGGAAGAGATGAGGAGGAAGAGGAGGAGGCGGACGAGGATGAGGAGGAGGAGGAGGAGGAGGAGGAGGAGGAGGAGGAGGATGAGGAGGAGGAGGAGGAGGAGGAGGAGGAGGAGGAAGGAGGAGCAGCATGAGGGGGCAGTGGGTAGCGTAGTTGTCAGAGACGGCTGCCGCGCACCATGCTACAAACGTAGAGCAAAGAACTGGCATTGGCGCGAAAAGGGGAAGAGCGGAGGAAGGAGGTTGGAGGGGTGAACGACATTTGGCAGAAGTTCTCCAGCGAACGTCCGCAGAAAGAAACTCGCGCGCGCGTAGAACAGTCACCCTGACAGTGGTGGAGGCGGAGCCCACGCAGATGTGCCTCTGGAGTTGAATGCGAATGGGAGCCGTATGCTTAGACAGGCCACACTGCTGCCAAGATTGAGGGGCCATGCCGCCATGCCAACCGAACGAGCACATGCTGCCCCGATTGCTGGTGCACTGCAGGGGCGTGGGAGGGGAATCCACATCAGCTAAGGAGGCAGGAAAACGAGAGCGAATTGCCGATCACTGCTCGTAGAACGTGTGTGCCGCGCAGTGGGGGTGCAGGGCGCGAGATGCCCAGAGAGCGAACTTCCCCTGACGCCTCGCAAGGCGATGGACGCCTACCCAGGGGAACGGGGCCGCCGCCAGCAGACGAAACAAGTGCAAGGTATCATGCAGCGCAGAGTTGTGCCCGAAAGGAGAGTGGACGGGGGAACGAAGAGGAGAGGGATCTTCGGAACTATCAAGCGAGGCTCGACGAAAACGAGCCCGCCTTCACAGCTCGTCCTCGAAGGTCCGTTGGTGGAAGTGGTCGTTGTCGCGGTTGACTGGCCCGTGATGAGGATTATCCTTGCGAAAGGTCCGACCATATGCAGCCTCGAGTGTCGCGAGGCAGGTGAGCTGGAGGAGGGGAGGCAGCAAATGGACTGCGTCCAAGATGCCTCTGCACTGGGCCCTTCGGTGGAGCTCCTCATGAGGCCACGAAGCGTGTGAGGGGTGTGCCGAATCGTGTGCGGTCACGCCATGCGGGCCCTGCCGCTGGGCCTTGCGGTGGAGCTCACTATGGGGCCACGAAACGTGTGGCGGGTGCCGAATCGGGTGCGGGTACGCCTTGCGGACCTTGCCGCTGGGGCCTTCAGTGGAACTCCCTATGGGGCCACGAAGCGTGTGAGAGGTGTGCCGAATCGGGTGCGGGTACGCCATGGGGACCCCGCCGCTGGGGCCTTCGATGGAGCTCCCGATGGGGCTGCGAAGCGTATGATGTGAGAGGTGTACCAAATCGGATGCGAGTACGCCATGCGGACCCTGCCGCTGGGGCCTTCGGTGGAGCTCATTTTGGGACCACGATCAGTGTGAAGAGTGTGCGATGACGGTGATGACATGCTGGGGGCAGAGGCAGGGATGGGAGGAGGAGAAGGAGGAGGAGGAGGAGAAGGAGGAGGAGGACGACCAGTGTAAATCCAAAAGTTATCAACGATGTTGGAATGAACCCTCCCTCCAAGCTTCATCTTCAAAAGCCACTACAACGATTCATTTCCATTGAGGGAACTGCCTCGTTGGAAGACAGCCGTTTGAAGACCTTGAAGCATGCCAGAACATGTTTCTCGGGATTTCCACGCCACGGATCAACCTGACTGCCGCGTCCTGACATTCCTGAATATTGCCAAAACGCCATTCCTGCGACTTCACCGCGAACCAACACAACTATTGCACCCGCATAATCATGAATCCTTCCAAACCAGACTTTCTGGTTCGCTGATGATGGGGATCAGTGGAATTCTTGCAACATGTTAAAGCGAATATGCGCGGCGCTAAGGCGAGAGCCACGTTTTGGAAAGGAAACGCCC